ATCCTCGTATCGGAACTCCAATGTTGGATCCAGAAGAATCGAATTTCGAGGAGATCTCATTGAAATCTCTCGGTGGATTTATTTTAGTGCTCAACGACAACGGAGAAATCTATTATGCATCTGAAAATGTGGAAGGATTTTTGGGATTCCATCAATCCGATATCCTTCATCAACCAGTTTTCGATTTGATTCATTCCGAGGATCGAGAGGATATTCGTCAACAACTTGACACCAATTTTCATATTCCGACGTCATCTTCTGCTTCTTCCTCTTCAACCACTTTTGATATTTTTGCTCCGCGTAAGGGATTTTTTGATTTCTTGCTTTTTAGAATTTATCGAATTTTCCAGAGAACTCTAAATATCTGGAGAGGAATGTCAACGCTCGATTTAGGTGTCTCCTGGATAACACTTGTGGATTCTTGGTAAGGTTTTCGATAAAGAAGGCTTCGTGGCCTAACTTTCCAGATATAGGGATTCTAGGCCATTTTTGGAAAGTTAGGCCACCAAAAGGAAAAATGTGAGCCAATTAATTCTGAGCAGAATGCTTTTTGCAGAGCTTGAAAATAATGAATTTGAGCTGAGTTATAGTCAAAAAACTGAAAATTTTTATTCTGAGCAACAGGTTCTTCGCGTAAGACTGTCATAACTCGGCTCAAACTCAATATTTTCGAGTTCTGTAAAAAATTTCTGCTTGAGATTGTATGACGCACATTTTGGGCTGATCTGAGCATCGGTGACCTAGAAATCCAAAAATTTGAGTTTCTAGGCCATTTTTGTAAAGTTAGGCCAGAAAGTGTTAAAATTTTCGTCAATTGTTTCTGAACAGAATGCCGTTTGCAGAATTCGGTAATAATAAATTTGAGCCGAGTTATAGTCAAAGAGCTGAAAATTTTTATTCTGAGCAATGGTTTTTTTTGGTCAAACTGTCATTAACTTGACTCGAACTCGCTATTTTCGAGTTCTGTAAAACTATTTTTCTCAGAATTTTGTGGCACATCACTGAGAGTGTTGTTGGCCTAGAAATCCAAACCCTTGGATTTCTAAGCCATCCCTGGAAAGCTAGGCCACCAAGTGGCAAAATGTGCGTCTATTAATTTTCAGCAGAATGGTTTTTACAGAACTCAAAAATAATGGATTTGAGCCGAGTTATAGTCGAAATACTGAAATTTTTTATTCTGAGCAACAGGTTTTTCGTATTACACTTTCATAACTCGGCTCACTGAGTTCAAGTATGTTAATTTTAAGCAAGCGCGCTCCGCCGGAATGCGCGGTAATTCAAATTTCATCTAATCATATTCGCTGCGCGGCATATGATGAAGGCCAAAAATGCGATACGTAGCTAAATATTTCAGAGAAACTCATTTTTCATCGATAATCGTGATTTTTTCATAAAATTGGATCGTTTCCGATCGATTCTGGATTATTTGATTCAAAAAACTGATAAAAAATTATTTTTCATGAAATCACATTTTTCGATTTTCTAAGAGTTTTCAATAACTGAATTTTGTCGGAATCAATCATATGATGCTTATTACTCTGTTCTGAATCGAAAACAATCAGAAATTCCATCAGAAAATAGATATAAAATTATAGAAATTTTGAACTACCTCCTAAAATTCGCAAAAATGCGGCCGAGCGCGCTTGCACCGCTTTCAGTGAAATTAACACCCTGAGAGCCCGTGTCGGCTCCAACTCAATATTTTTTAGTTCTGTAAAAACCATTCAGCTTAGAACAAGATGACAATTCGAATCTCAATTTTCAGAGAATCGACATGCGTGGAAAGCTGATGTCCCTTCACGGACTGCCCTCTTCATATGTATTGGGTCGGAGCACTTCGGGTCCGGTCCTTGGGATGATTTGTGTTTGCACGTAGGTTTTTTGAATGGTTTTCGTGGAATTTATACTCATGAAGTTTTGGTTCAGACCATTCGTCCCACCGTCCACTTCAGATTTGGCTTCAGAAGACATGATTCTGAAGACGAAGCATCAGTTGGATGGGACATTGGTTTCGATGGATTCGAAGTGAGTTTTACCTTCAATAGAGGGGCACTTTAACAACCACTTTATTCAGTTTAAAGGCGCACATTTGAGGTTACTCAGAACTGCAGTAAGCCCAAAATCCAAAGTTTCAATTTTCAACTTTAGCAAAATCTGAGCTCACCATCTGATTCCTCATCAAATTTCACCCCGTCATATCATTTTTCTTAGCTCTAGCTCAAAGTGTCGTAAAATCAGGTGTTTCGTACGCAGACACCGCGCTCTGCGTACCGTACAGCAGACCTTACGACTTTGTGAGCTAGAGCTCCACAAATTTGGGCATCTGGGTGAAACTTCACGAGGAATCCCGTGGTGGAACTGGTTTTGCAAAGTAAATTTTTTCACAGAGTGTACGAAATGCTGGAAATTGACGATTCGGATCTTCCCCTATCTCTGTACAATATAATCCACGTGGAAGATGCTGTCTGTATGGCCGAGGCACACAAAGAAGTCATCAAAAATGGGTCATCTGGTCTTCTAGTCTACCGGTTGATCAGCTCGAAAACTCATCGACCGTATTATGTACAAAGCTCTTGTAGGCTCATTTGCAAGAACAGCAAACCAGAGTCAATCGGGTTCACTCATAGGCTATTGAAGTGAGTTTGGAGGGAGGGAATATGCATGGCCTAACTTCTCCGATTTAGGGTTACTAGGTCATTTTAGAAAATTAGGCCACTGAGTGTCGAAGTGTGCGCCAAATGATTCAGAGCAGATTTGTTTTTGCAGAACTCAAAACAATCGAATTTGAACCGAGTTATAGTCAAAAAGCTGAAAATTTTTAATCTGAGCAATGGTTTTTTTTGGGTCAAACTGTCATAACTCGGCTCAAACTCAACATTTTTGAACTCAGTAAAAACTATTTTGATCAGGACTGTTTCGCGCATATCTAAAGTCAAACTCAGTTTCGGTAGAAATCCGAAAATCTAGATTTCTCGGCCATTTTTCAGAAAGTTAGGCCACCAAATCAGTCGATATTCCCGCCAAACCATTATGAGCAGAAAGGTTTTACAGAACTAAAAAAAACAGTGAATTGGAGCCGAGTTATAGCCGAAATACTGAAAATTGTTATTCTGAGTAATGGGTTTTTTTTGGGTCAAACTGTCATAACTCGGCTCAAACTCAATATTTTTGAGTGAAAAACTGTTTAACAAACACCTTTGGCCGAACAGAAAAATTGATGACCTAGAAATCCAAATGTTGGGTTTCTAGGCCATGTACAAAAATCTGGCCAGCTACATTAGAGTCATTTTCAGTGAAGTGGAAGGAGTGATGCTTCTTGAGAAGAGAAGTTCTCTAAAAGCGAAACTACTGTCTTTCGACGATTCCTTCCTCCAATCCCCAAGAAATCTCCAGTCAACAGCTGCCCTCCCGCTTCCAGTCCTTCTGAAAGACGACCAGGATGGGTGAGTATCTAAAAGTGCACTTTCTCCCAAATAGCACGTAAACTCTTCATGTTCAAACACCTTATTTGTATACAGTATCATGGTCAGATGACTTTTTTTTCCCAACAAAAAAAGAAGAGAAAATACACATTGTCAACAATAGACAATGTGTGTGTATGTTTGGATGTGATTGCTCAGCTTTGTGGTACAACATGTGAAAATTAGCACAAAAAAAAAGAAAAAAGGTGGTCGTCGTTTTTGGACAAAGACTAGAGGATACTGTACTTTTTTGTGCTTTGGAGTTTTGCGAGGCTTTTTAAAGGAGCAAAGATTTTTGATTTGAAGTTTCGGGTCAATAAGAGCAAAATTTCAAAAAACCAACAGCACCACGAGATTCCACGTGAAAAATCACCCCGGGAGCCAATTTTGTAGAGCTCTAGCTCAAAAAGTCGTGGGGTCGAGTGCCGGGTACGCAGAGCGCGGTGCCTGCGTACGGGGCACTTGATTTTACGACACTTTGAGCTAGAGCTTAGAAAAACGAAATGACGGGGTGGAATTTTATGGGGAATTTGATGGTGAGTTTGATTTTGCTTAATTTGAAAATTGAAAATTGTGATTTCGGATTTTTGGCACCGGAGCCCCAGATTTGTGGTCTAGTGGTATTTTTTCATAATTCTCGAAGTTTCTACGTCAGCTCTTCCAGACTGGAACCCTCCACCTCTACTGCTCTCTTCTCAACTCTCTCCATCCCCCCGACGACTTCTCCCACAAAATCTTCTCGTCGGCGGAAAGAGAATCCAGATGCGGTGCCAGTTCCAGCCACCATTCAAGTACCTCCTCCACCTCCTCCTCCACATTTCGAGATGCAAATGTTCGATCCATCATGGAGTCATGATACTGCTTGGCCTCAAGACGTCTACAATCAGTATCCACCGGTCTATCCGCCACCAGGGGTACCCGGGATTGTTGGATATCCAGAAGTTCCGAATATTGAGTATGCGGCGACGTGGCAGCCAACGGGTAAGGATCAAAAGTGAAAAAAATAAAGCATCTGTGAAATTTCCAGACATCCATATGCAAATGGCACCTCCAAATGGATTCATTCCGGAGATTCAGAAGGTAGGCAAAGAGAAATCGGGGGTCTTTAAGGTTTTCAGGATTCCAGCCAGTACCTATTTATCCTGTGGTTGTTTTTTCACAAGCTACTCGTATTCTTACTCTTTTCGAGCTTTGATTTATTCAATTAATTGGAAAATATATAGTTTTGTGATGGTTATATATCTATATGTAGACAAAAAAAAATTATTCCAATTGCACTTTGGTAAGTGTCGGGAAAAAACCTTGAAAAGTGAAACTAAATCAAAGTTTTTTGACCCCGGAATTTCTTAAAGCATCGCCAATTTTTTTGAGTTTTGAAGAAAAAAACAAAAAGAACTTCGAGGTGTGCGGGGTCGAACCCGCGCCGCTTGACCGCCAGCCGCGCGTGTTCCCCACTAGGCCATGTATGCAGACTTAGCGACGAGAACTGAGGGGGTATATCACTTACAGCTATCTAGAGGAAAATGACAAAGAGAAATGTGGGGTGGCGGGGGTCGAACTCACGCCTCTCGCTTGCCAGCCGCGCGTGTTACCCACTCGGCCACGCACGCAGATTCAGCGAAAGTGGCAAAGGGCGTAGAGAAAAGAGGGGGAAGCATTCCCAAGACTCTCAATAATCAAACAATTTCCAGATCACGCCTCATCCACCACTCCACCATTTCGTTGACTATTCAACCCCTTCATCTTCATCTTCCCACCATCTTCACCATCATCATCACCATCATCATTTGCATCACCCATTGAAACAAGACAACTTTCATTTAATCTCAGAAGTAACCAATCTTCTAGGCACCTGAGAGAGGGTGACGACGACGTAATAAATTGTTTACAACCCACGATTTGCAATCCCTACAGTAATCATTTGGGGGAAATAATCGTCTGACACACTTTTTTATGACGACTTCCGAAACATGTGTCTCCATTTTTATGGCTCTGTTTAAGGTGGTATTTAGTGGAAAGGGGAGAAAATGAGTGTTGCAACTTTCAAAACTACAGTAATCCATGATCATAAACAGTTTATTTTATTTTCTACCAACAGAACTTCTTACATCCAAGCATTCTAAGGTCGTAGAGGAACGGAAGCATTTTGGGGTAGGAATCAGTCAAGTCGGCGTTTCTGATGAGCATTTGACAGGGGTAGACAGCGATGGAGAGGAGGACGGAGTCACAGCGGTCGATGAGTTTCTGTTGAAGGTCTGGCCAGGTTTGGGGAATGCCGACGAAGATGGAGCAGACCGCGCAGAACGGGGGGTCCGCTTTGGTGGGGGTCTGGAATTATTTTTTTCTGGTTGAGGAAGTACGCTCTACTGGACAATGTAATCCACGTTACTAAAATTACATCAAAAAAGTCGAATAGAGCGCGCTTTCTAATCATCTAAACGCCTGAAACAAAACTGAACTCACCGAGCAAAAGGCGATAAGAAGAAGAATACAGAACAACTTCATCTCTTCCCAAAGGACTGACGAGTTGGTCACGAATCAGTTGGAACTGAAAATGAAAAGAGAGCCGTCTCCCGGCTTTTCAAGCACGCCCACCTCATGTGAACTCCTTGCCGATTCCCGTCTTTGACGCGATGCCGACCATGAGAACCAGGAGGAATGAAATGGTCTTTGAATTTTTTGATGATGGGAACTCGCCCACACTGAGGACGATGTAGTTTTTCAATAGGATTATTGAAAGCGTGGAAATACAGCTAGAAAAAAGTATCACTGGATAGGAGAGAAGATACCAAAGAGCTTCTTATAGCCTCCTCTAGGCCAAGTGGTGCGAAATCTGACCTGTAGCTTACCTAGAAAGGGATTTAGCAGGGACTAATTACAGTACCAGGGTACAGGTTGTTATTATCTATCCAGCAGTACCTAACTGAAACTCCACTGTCCTATCTGACCTGTCCTTGGTAAGATGGTTCAGAGATTATACAAAAGTGATAAAGGATTATTCCGGCAAGCCAAGTTTTTGCGCGATTTTTCCCGGGTTTTTGCGGAGTTTTTTTTAGTGTTGCTGCAATGTTTCTGCAATGATTCTGCAGTGTTTCTGCAGTGTTCCTGAAGTGTTTCAGCAGTGTTTTTTCGGTTCATATTGTATAAACTGCTTCGTCACCGAGAAATCCATTATTTCGGCCTCTCGGAGAGGATAGTACATTGAGGAAACTCAGATCAACTTGAAAATAAACGGCAACCGATGTGATGAGAATTTTGGATTTTCAAATTTCGAGTGACTGATCCAAACGGCTCCGGTTTCTTCTGTGTTTCTGAAGTTTCTTTTGCAGTGTTTTTGCAGTATATATTTAGTGACGTAGAAGTGGCTTTTCTGACTGAATAAACCACTTCTACGTCACTAAATCCATTATCTCAGCCTCGGCCTGATTTTAGCTCAAATTGAAAATGAACTGAAAACAATGTGATAGGAAAATCGGATTTTCAAATTTCGAGTGACTGATCCAAACGGCTCCGGGACATTTCGAAACCGGACATTTCGAAACCCGGACTTTTCGAAACCGGCGATTTCAATTGATTTTCAGGCAAATCTGAGCAAAATAAAATTTCAATAATTTTCAGAAAAAAAAA